GGGGCGGCTGGCCCAGAGGGCAGCCAGGCTGGCGAGTTGTTCCCGGCGCCTCTGCCGCGCGCCCGGCTCCCTCCGCCCGCGCAGACGGCAGGGATGCATGCGGCCCCCGCGCCGCCAGCCCCGCGCGGCGGGACGGTCCCGTGCCGCTTGTGCCAAGGTGGCCCCTGCACAGCTGGCGCAGCCTCCGCGCAGGAGGGAGGCTGCGGCCCCTGCCCTGGGTCTCTGCCTGGCTGCCTGCACCTGAGCCAGGGCTTGGAAGATGCTTTGCTGGCCCGGGCTCTGTGCTGGCGCGCGCTGTGCCTTCAAGAGGGCTGCAGAGCACTTGGGCACCTGCCCTGCTGCCGCCGGGTCCTGGCAGCCCTGCTGGGGCAGCCGGGGCGCACGGGGCTCTGCACCCGCGGGGAGCCCCCAGGCTCTCCTGCTGCTGGGCTGTGCTGCCTGGAGCAGGTGGTGTGCCACGTTTTGGAGAAACAGCCGCAGAAAGGCACTCGAGGTGCCACGGGGACGGTGTTTCGTGGGTGCGCCCAGCTCCAAGCTGTTCAGCTGGGCGAAGGCAGGAGCCTGTCAGCATCAAGCACCATGGCGGTGACGCACGGCAGGAGGGAGGCCCGAGTGTTCCGTGTGGAGCCGAGCGCCAGCAGGGGCAGGCACCCAAGCCGGGGCCCTCACCTTTGCGCACTGCATGCGGGTCGCACCTCGCGTCAGGGCCGGGATGCTCCTGGGGAAGACGTGCGTGTTGCTGCAGGCGCGCACAGGCTGACAGGTGCCAGCACGTGCAACGACCCGGGAGACACCAAGGGCTGTGTGCGCGGCTGTGCAGGCCCTAGGCACCCTGGCTCCGCCTGTGCGCGTGGTGCGTGGGCTGCCCGTGTACGTGGGTGTGCGCAGGGGGTGCTGTGCGTGCGCGCCGTGGCGGCTCCGCTCCGCGCTGCCGTGCAGGGGGAGGGAGAGCCTGAGCACGGAGGGCTGCGCCGAGGTGTGCGAGCGCTGTGTGCACGTGCGCGGCACCGCACACATCGCGGGGGTGCCCTGCGCACGCCGTGGCGTGCGTGTGCCACGCGGGACCGCACGTGCATGGTGCCACCCGGGCCGTGCCTGTGTCACGGCAGTGCTCCTTCTGTCTCCAACCCTATTTTGGAGTGGTCATGCACAGGGTTTGGATGGACATCGTGGGGGTCGTGCACACCTAGACAGGGACTGCGCCACTCGGCAGCTCTGTGTGAGGCCAGGCAAGCCCTGAGCTCCCCGCACTGCCCTGCCTCCTCCTCCTCCCGGTTGTCCTCGCGGGGTGCCTGCCGGGGGGATAACGCTCTTCTCTCTTTTCCTTTGCAGAAAACCGGCCACTCCCGGCGCTTCGGGCGCTTTACGCATGGTGCGTTGAATTACCAGAACCCCGTCCTGCCCTCGCTCCCCGCCGAATGCGTCTGGGATCGGGGGGTCTGACCCACGCGAAAGGGCCCTTCCTGCTCTGCCTGCGGCGCTGGGGAGGGAGCCGGGGAGCCCAGGGCTGGGCTGTGCCCGGCACCCCAGAGCAGGGCCTGTGCGCGGGCAGGCACGGGGCGCTCTGGGGTGGTGTGTGGCAGAGGGGGGCTGCAGTGGGGCAGGGGATGCTGTGTCCTCCCTGCCCACCCAGCTGCAGGGCAAAGGATGGACTTCTTGCCGAAGACCCAGGTCGTGGTGGCTTGCAATGGCCAGGGTAGCCCCCGTGGCTGCATGAGGCTCTGCTCTCCTCGCCCAGGGTGTTCCCGTGGCTCTGAGCTGGTTGGGCTGCATCCTGCCTGTGGGAGGCTTGCCAAAGATGCTCTGTTTGGGCCCACTTTGTCATGGCCCAGAAACTTATTCTGAGAGCACAGGGCTGCTCTCTAGGAGCATCACAGCTTTCCCAACCGGGCTACAGGGTATTGCGATATTTTGCAATGCTTCCCACAGGAGGGTAGAGGACAGGTGTATTTGCCACAAGGCGGGTGCTGGCACCCTGAGCCAGTGGATGTGCGGGGGACACGCACGGAGCTCTCTGCGCCGGAGCGTGCAGCGGCTGTGGGTTGCTGTGCTCTGCAGGGCCCGGTGCTGCACAGCGGCCTGAGACCGGCTGTGGGGCAGAGCGGGGCCAGCGACAGGACCGTGATGTGGGGAGGGGCTGCCTCGTCTCGTGCCAGCAGTTCGGTCTGTGCGAGGCGGGAAGGGGCGGCTGCGTGCTGCATAGCGAGCACGTGGGAGCTCAGGAGGTGCTGGAGTTGTGCCCGTGCCCCACGGGCGCTTGGCCACCGCTATAGGGTTTGGGTTACTTATTATGGGGTCCTAAGATGGGGCAAATGCCCAGTCATTCGTCCCCACTGTACCCCAGGCCTGGCATGTGGCACCAGGCTCCCAGATGTGGCAGGATGCTGCCCCATGCCAGTGTGGGGAGGTGCTGGGGACAAGTGTCCTTCCCCACTGCCCCCCGCGTCTCCGCAGGCCGGGCCGATAACCGGGTGTTGATGTCTCTCTCTCTCTTGCTGCCCCTATGGAAGCGAAGTTTTCCGCTCCTGCAGGAAACAAAGCTACGGTAGGACGGCACTCGCCTCATGCCGGCCCCCGTGTCCCCAGACGGACCCTGCGCCTCCAGCTGCTGCCGTCCCCTCTCTCTGCTCCTGCCCTGCTGCTGCCCCGCTGTCTGCACCAGCCCTGGCCACGGCCACCGTGCAGCTCCCCACTGCATCCCCTGTGCTGGCAGCGTCTTCCCACCCTCCCCAGACTACGTCCCATCCCGTCACCTGCAGCAGCTCCTGCCCCCTTCTCCTGACCCGCAGCATGTCCTGCCTGCCAGCCTGGCTGCGCTCGGCTCCTTCCCACCCGCTCCCGCCTTTCCCTGCTGGCAGGCTGTGCTCTCTGTTTCCCAGCAGAGCCGGTCCTGGTCACAGTCTTACCCCCATCCCTGGCATGGCCTCCTCCCACACTGCCCCGGCCCTGATCACCTGCTGTGGACTTGGTGGGTCTGCGAGGGGCCGTGCCAGCCCCCACCACCATCCCCATGTCCCCTCACCCTCCGTTTTCCCCCCGCAGACTCGGAGACCGGCGAGGATGAGCCCAGCGACCCCCAGGTGACGCAGCGCAGCGAGCTCCAGGATGAGACCACTTTCAGCACCCCCACGGGTGAGCCGAGGTCCCCAGGCTGTGCTGAGCACAGCCAGCATTGGGGTCCCTGTCAGGAGGAAGCCACCAAAAAGGGTTTGGGTCAGCCTGGCGCTGCCTGGTGCCAGCTCCACACTGCACCGCCGTGCCCTGTGCCAGCTTGTGAGCAGGGCGCCGGGCTGGTGCCCGCGAGCTCCCCGTGGCGTCTCACCCCTCTGCTTGCAGGCGAGTCCGACACCCTCGTGGACGCCTCCATGAACACGACGCCGACCTCGGTGCTGGCCCTGTCGCAGGCGGAGGAGCGCTCCAGCTGGTCGGGCAGCCAGCAGACCGTGGTGGAGAAGGAGACGGATGCCAGCCTCCCCGCAAGGGGACCCTCCCTCCGCCCCAGTGCCTGGCAGCCGCAGGGAACCCCAAGGCAAGCAAACGCGCCGGCCCCGCATGGCGCCGAGGTGCGGCCCCGGGGCGTCGAGCCGCTGGTGCGGGCCTCACGGGCTAATCTGGTGGGCACGAGCTGGGGGGCAGAGGATAGCCTCTCGGGGGCCAGCGACCCCTACGGCAGCGCCTTCAGCCTGTACCGAGGACGGGCGCTCTCGCTCCACGTGTAAGTAGCCAGAGGGAGCGCGCGGAGGGGACATCGCGCTGGGGCCATCTCCTCCAACCACCGCAGCCATCTTCTCCCCTCTGCCTGGGGCTTTCTTTGGCTTCTCCATCCCTGGATGAGGAACGGAGGCTCTGAGTCATAGGCAGCGCTGGCCCTGGTGAGAAGCAGGGAGCACCCTGGGGAGAGGAGGGGACAGGCATTGGGGTGAGGGCGCTGGACACAGGCAATCCTGGAGCTGGGTCCTTTTTGCTGTGGCTAGATGGAGGCTGGTGCAAGCTGTGTGCCACGCTTCGCAGCCCGGAGAGCGGGCACCTGGGGCTGTGCAGGGCTGCCCGCTGCCGGGGCTCGGTCCCTACAGCACAGGGGACACACTGACGTGCTCAGAGCCCCCATCCCTCCCCGCCGCCTTTGGTTTCCCATGCCGCAGGCCTGCTCCTTCGATCTCCATCCTGCCCCTTTGCATTTGAGGCTGCTTGTTCCACCAGAACCTCATCTCCACCTTATGATTTCTGCACCGCAAACTTCCACTCCTCCTGGCCCAGCTGCCAGCAGAGGAGGGCGGCAGGGCTGGGGCAGTGGGATGGTGGGGGGCACCAACACATCCCAGGAAAAGTGGGGCTCCCCACTGCTCTCTTCCCTCCAGTCCTGTCTGCACAGCAGCCCCAGACTGGGGACTTGCTGGATGTCCCAGTGTCACAGCTGTGGGCATCCCTGCCCAGGCAGGTGTCTCTGAGCGCCAGCCTGCTCTGCCCAGGACTATTACCCAGCCCAGCCCGGGCAGCTCCGGTGCTCTTGGCATGGCTGGATCCCCCTCCAGGACCCCTCAGGTCTCCCCAGGCCCGGAGTTCCTGTGCCCCACTGCCCCGGTGCTGGGGCCAAGGGCAGGGCTGACGCAACATGTGGGCGAGGAAGGACTCTGAACCTGTGCCTGTGTCCTCTCTGCTTGCAGCAGCATCCCCCAGGGGGGCTACCGCAGAGATGACCCCCACGCCGGCCCTGTCTCTCCAAAGCCCGGTGCTGAGCCCCCGAGGTCCCCCGCGGCTCTGCCGCTGACCGCCAAGCCCCCCATCCTCCGCTCACCATCTCCTCGCGCCGGCCTGTGCCCATCGTCTGGAGCCGCGACCCAGACGTCTGCCCGGGGCCCCAGCGTCCTCTCCTTCACCCCGGTGACTCCTCGCAAGAAATCTGCAGTTCCGGTTGAGTACCAGGACACTGTCCCCGAGGAGTATGAGGAGAAGATCAAGAAGCCCAAGTCCTCAGGGTACTCACAGGGCAGCACGCAAGAGTCCCGTCCTCAGACGCCCATGAGCGACACGTCCAGCCGCGTCTCCGTGCGGGCATCGCCCAAGCTCGTGCGCTCCGGCTCCAAGATCTTTGAGAGGCTGCAGTACTTTGAGGAGCGCCGCAGGAGCCTGGAGCAGGCGGACGGCGCCTTCCCCGCGCACCCCTGGCTGCCTCTGCGCAAGACGCGCTCCTTCGACCAGCCCGGCCTGGACTCGCGCCGCCCCTGCACACCGGGCGGCTCGCGGGAGGACGTGCGGGACGGCACCCGCTCGGAGCTGGGCAGTGCGGCCTGCCGCCGCCTGGCCTTCCGGCAGAAAGCTGCCTCCTTCGACGAGCGGGGCAAGTTCGCCAGCCGCGTCTACGACATCGAGCACAAGTTCTCGGCGGAGCTGAGCCGCATCAAGCGCACGGTCTCCAACCAGCAGCTGAGGCGCTCCCAGGAGCTGGCCAAGACCGGGGC